AGTCTCTGTCCAACACTCGGGAACTCCGGGACTTCTTCCATGGTGAGGGCAGGGCCTAGAGCCTGGGATATGGGTGGAGGGGGTGCCTTTGACCCTCACACCTTTGCTCGGCTGCTGTTCCTAGACCGCTCCTTTGAGGCTGAGATCAACTACAACAACCCACTAGGGACTGGTGGGCGTCTGGCCATTGGCTTTGCTGTGCTGCTTCGGGCGCTGTGGAAGGGCACCCACCATGCCTTCCAGCCTTCCAAGTTGAAGGTGATCCGTGACCACTGTCACCCTTGGCTGGAGAGGGCGGGGAGGGCCAGCCAACTGGGTGTGCAGTGGGTGCTAGGGCTTCATGTTCACACCTTGGCTTCTGTATCCAGGCCATTGTGGCGAGTAAGGCCAGCCAGTTCACAGGCTATGCGCAGCATGACGCCCAAGAGTTCATGGCTTTCCTGCTGGATGGGCTGCACGAGGACCTGAATCGGATTCAGAACAAGCCCTACACAGAGACTGTGGACTCAGATGGGCGGCCTGATGAGGTCAGGGTTGGGGACAGCAGGTGGGCATGGCGCACGTGCATCCCAGCCCCCAGGTTTCTTTGGTTCTCACCACTCTGCCTCTCAGGTGGTAGCCGAGGAAGCATGGCAGCGGCACAAGATGAGGAATGACTCTTTCATCGTGGACCTATTTCAGGGCCAGTACAAGTCTAAGCTGGTGTGCCCTGTGTGTGCCAAGGTATGATGGGGTCCCCTGGAAAGAGGCCCCCTAGTTTGGCTCAGCTGGTCTGGTCACATTAGGTTCAGAGGCATGTGCATCTTAAGGTGCTACAGGGCAAGGTTTGGGCAAAGAAGCTGGCAGGGAGGCCTTAGGATTCTATGTGGACTGAAGAGCCTATTCAGGGTAGGCTTCCTGACTGAGGGAAAAGTGATATTAAAGCTCAGAGGTGTTGTCACAGGGTTCTGGGCACATGGGGTGTAAGTGTGAGGCAAATTTGTAAAGTGGCTAAGCTGAGCATGGCTTTGAGTGCCAGAAAGAGGGATCATTAACTCCTGGTGGCCCTCCTGCCCCATCTAGTGTCCTCAAGCCTGAGAGTTTGCTGGTTGGCTCTGAGGGCCCTGAGAGCCATCAGAAAGCCTGGAATGGGCTCTTTGGGCATGAGCATCTTGTCTCCCACTCTCTGTGCAGTCACCCAGTGCCAACTATACATCCACAGGTCTCCATCACTTTTGACCCATTTCTTTATCTGCCGGTGCCCTTGCCACAAAAGCAAAAGGTTCTCCCCGTCTTTTATTTTGCCCGAGAGCCCCACAGCAAGCCCGTCAAGGTGAGGAGTAAGCCCCTACCCTCTGGGCTATCACAGAGAATGTGGCCCACCTCCCTCACTGGCTGCCCTTTTTGCCACAGTTCCTGGTGAGCATCAGCAAGGAGAACTCCACTGCGAGTGAAGTATTGGACTCCCTCTCTCAGAGCGTTCATGTGAAGCCTGAGAACCTGCGTTTGGCAGAGGTATCTTTGTCCTTCCTTGGACTATTATATATGTGGACGTGTGCGTACTCAGCATAGACGTTTACAGTCATTGACATCTACAGACATACACATGGGCTGGGCACAGTGGCTCATAGCTATAATCCCAACACTTTGTGAGGCTGAGGTGAGCAGATCACTTGAGCCCAGCAGTTTGGGACCAGGCCGGGCAACTTGGCGAAACAAGAAATCTCTACAAGAAATAAAAAACAAGTCTCTACAAGAAATAAAAAAATTGGATGGGTGTGGTGGGTATGTGCTTATAGTCCCAGCTACTTCAGAGGCTGAGGCAGGAGGCTCACTTGAGCTCAGGAGGTGGAGGTTGCAGTGAGCAGAGATCGACTGCATTGCAGCACTCTAGCCTGGGTGACAGAGTGAGACCCTGTCTCAAAAATAAATAGATAAAACATAAAAATAGACATACACATGAATGTGCCTGTGACTGCCCAAAAACAGGCAATGTGCTGTTATTTGAGGCATGTTTGAAACCAGGCATTTTGTCTGTACAACAGAAGTGCCCTTAGTTCCTAGCCATTATCTGGGTTTATTCCCCTTTGTGGTGGTGGACCCCAACTGCATTTCCCTTTTCAGACAAGGAGCTTGAGCTGCAGGACTATCACTATGTTTACTCTGCTTCTCCCTCTATCCTACTACTGCTTTCCTTTTATCCCAGTTCTGTGTGCTAGCTCTCTCCAGGGGTTCCTAACCTTTAGCCTGACAGTGTCGGTTTTCTCAGGGATAAGAGTGGGGAGGAATCTCCTTGAATGTGAACCCTCCGTGACAATATGTTGCAGTCTTATAAGGCCATGCTAGTTATAGTAGGGTAGAGTCCCTCAGTGTGGAGAGCTGGTATTGTTGATATCTGCCCAACACCTGGTCTTTCAGGCCCTCTGATGCACTAGGCTCATTATGGCCTTAGGCACTGAGATGGATGCCAGCGGAGGCATAAGCCTATTTGGGCCTCCAGACCTTACTGCTGCCCATAGACCCAAGGCAGGGCCAAGTTTTCTTACACTCTGGGGCAGGACTAGGGAAAGGGCTTATTCTTATGTGGGATCTGTGTGTTCTCTGTCCCCAGGTAATTAAGAATCGTTTCCAACGTGTGTTCCTGCCCTCCCACTCACTGGACACTGTGTCCCCATCTGATATGCTCCTCTGCTTTGAGCTGCTATCCCCAGAGTTGGCTAAGGAGCGGGTAGTGGTGCTAGAGGTGCAACAGGTGAGTGGGGGCCAACCTGATGGCACAGGGCCCTGGTGGGTGGGGCACTCCTGCCTGGTCTTGCTGAGCCAGACGACCCACCCTAGCGCCCTCAGGTGCCCAGCGTCCCCATCTCCAAGTGTGCAGCCTGCCAGCGGAAGCAACAGTCGGAGGATGAAAAACTGAAGCGCTGTACCCGGTGCTATCGTGTGGGCTACTGCAACCAGTGAGGACCCCCGTGGTCTCCCCCACCCTTCCTTACTACCTTCTATGTGCCACCCTGCCCCTTCCTGCCACACCAAGGCACATATGCTTAAGATATACCTGTCACCCTACTTTACCAGGCTCTGGGGGAGGCAGGGCTGGCATACCCAGTTCCAAGGGACTATGACGAGCCCCCAGGATGGGGCTGAGGGCCTATCCTTGTCTTCCTCTTCCCTTCAGGCTCTGCCAGAAAACCCACTGGCCTGACCACAAGGGCCTCTGCCGACCTGAGAACATTGGGTACCCCTTCCTGGTCAGTGTACCCGCCTCACGCCTCACTTATGCACGCCTCGCTCAGCTGCTAGAGGGCTACGCCCGGTAAGTGCCCAGTGGTTGGACTAGAGTGGTGTAGGTGGGGACAGAGATGCTAGATGGGCTGGTCAGGAATCTTATTTGCCTTGTTGTCTGTTGCTAGGTACTCTGTGAGTGTATTCCAGCCACCCTTTCAACCTGGCCGCATGGCCTTGGAGTCTCAGAGCCCTGGCTGCACCACACTGCTCTCCACTGGCTCCCTGGAGGCTGGGGACAGTGAGAGGGACCCCATTCAGCCACCTGAGCTCCAGCTGGTGACCCCTGTGGCTGATGGGGACACAGGGCCTCTCCGGGTATGGACAGCCCCTGACCGGGGTCCTGTGCCCAGCACCAGTGGAATTTCTTCTGACATGCTGGCCAGTGGGCCCATTGAGGTTGGCTCCTTGCCTGCTAGCGAGAGGGTGTCCCGACCTGAAGGTAAGATCCGGTGAATGACTCCGGGAGCTGGGAAAGAAGAGACAGGAGGGTTGGGGGGGGCTCTTGTTTAGGTCCTGATGGGCAGGGAAGATTTGATTATCATGTTTTCACACAGCCGCTGTGCCCGGGTACCAGCACCCAAGTGAAGCTTTGAATGCCCACACACCCCAGTTCTTCATCTATAAAATTGACTCATCCAACCGAGAGCAGCGGCTAGAGGATAAAGGTGTCTGAGGCAGCGGGTGGGAGCCATGGTGTGGTTTGAGTTGGTTGTTCTCCACAGCTGCATGACCTCTCTCCCTGCCAATCTCCAGGAGACACCCCACTGGAGCTGGGTGATGATTGTAGCCTGGCTCTTGTCTGGCGGAACAATGAGCGATTGCAGGAGTTTGTGTTGGTAGCCTCTAAAGAGCTGGAATGTGCTGAGGATCCAGGCTCTGCTGGTGAGGCTGCCCGGGCTGGCCACTTCACCCTGGACCAGTGCCTCAACCTCTTCACACGGCCTGAGGTGCTGGCACCCGAGGAGGCCTGGTGAGAACAGGGCAGCAGGCAGATAAGGGGGCAGGATGGAGAAGAGAGAGACTTGCTGGTCCTGACCCAACCTCTGTCCCCTCCAGGTACTGCCCACAGTGCAAACAGCACCGTGAGGCCTCCAAGCAGCTGTTGCTATGGCGCCTGCCAAATGTTCTCATCGTGCAGCTCAAGCGCTTCTCCTTTCGTAGTTTTATCTGGCGTGACAAGATCAATGACTTGGTGGAGTTCCCTGTTCGGTGAGCAGCGGACCGTGGTGACTGTGGGCGGAGCGTGAGGACCAGGGTGGGCATCCGGAGCACCTGCTGCTTGTCTCACCCCTCCCTGACTGGACCTGACCTGCAGGAATCTGGACCTGAGCAAGTTCTGCATTGGCCAGAAAGAGGAGCAGCTGCCCAACTACGATCTCTATGCTGTCATTAACCACTATGGAGGCATGATCGGTGGCCACTACACTGCCTGTGCACGCCTGCCCAATGATCGTAGCAGTCAGCGCAGTGACGTGGGTGAGGGCACACACAGCCCAGCAGGATAGGTGGTAGGGGTGGTGGTACAGACTTTGTTCACACTCTTCCCACCCTGCTGTAGGCTGGCGCTTGTTTGATGACAGCACGGTGACAACGGTAGACGAGAGCCAGGTCGTGACACGTTATGCCTATGTACTCTTCTATCGCCGGCGGAACTCTCCTGTGGAGAGGCCCCCCAGGGCAGGTCACTCTGAGCACCACCCAGACCTAGGCCCTGCAGCCGAGGCTGCTGCCAGCCAGGTGAGGCATGTGGTAGGCTTTACAGAATAGTGGGGATAGCTCACAGACTGTGGGGCAGGGTTGGGGGATAGAGCTTCCTCTCCTCCAGCCACAGACCCCTTGAGCCTTGGGATTCATGAGAATTGCAAAGTTCCCTTACATCAAAGCCTTATCCAGAAGTATCCCCATACCCTGGGAACACTAACAAATGTACAGGTACACTAATAACATGCTGCCACTGGCAAGCACATTGGCACCCACTTGGCACAGATCAGGCAACTGCTCTGAACCTCACTGGGCACTGTGCTGTGAATGGACTATACCTGACAATTTCCCAGATTTCCCCCTCACATTCCCCACATGATAGCCCACACACCTTCACTTGTGATATCCCTGAGTTCTGGTGTGCACTCAAGACAAGGCCTATCTGGGCTGGCCATGGCCTCTGGTGGCTGTCATACTCTCTGAGGTAAACATAAGCATCTGTCTTTGCTGATCTTCTGTCTCTTTTACTGACATGGTATGCCATAGATCCAGTTGGTGGGCATGGGCACATCTCTTTTCTGGACTGGCTGCCTCCTTTCTGGCCCCATTCTCTTGAGCCCTCTGTCAAGCTTAGAGAAATTTCTGCAGAAGACTGGTCAGGATCTGGGTATGGATGGAAAGGAACAAGGAGATTGCTCTGGGATTGGCAACCCTGTTCTCTATGCATCAGTGTCATCTGGGGAGGCCTGGACTAAAATACTAACCAGATAACTCCCCACCCACCTCCATGTGGAGCTGCATGTGGATTGAGAGCTGTTTAGGGTAGGCAAAAATGCTATCAAGATTCTTTTACCCGGCCGGGGCGCGGTGGCTCAAGCCTGTAATCCCAGCATTTTGGGAGGCCGAGGCGGGTGGATCACGAGGTCAAGAGATCGAGACCATCCTGGTCAACGTGGTGAAACCCCGCCTCTACTAAAAAAATACAAAAAACTCGCTGGGCATGGTGGCGCATGTCTGTGATCTTGGCTGCTCAGGAGGCTGAGGCAGGGGAATTGCCTGAATCCAGGAGGCGGAGGTTGCAGTGAGCCGAGATCCCGCCATTGCACTCCAGCCTGGGTAATAAGAATGAAACTCTGTCTCAAAAAAAAAAAAAGATTCTTTTACCCTTGTGCTCTTAGTCTGGACAACCCTGAGGTTGGCTGCCTGCCTTCTTCCTTGCTGCTTGATCTAGAATGCAGGGTGTTAGCCCCAGTCACCCCAGATGGGACTGTCATGGCTAAGAGTCTCAGGGATACTGGGTCCTCCCCAACCCTGGGGTGCTGATGGCCGTTTCCACATACCCTAGGCTTCCCGGATTTGGCAGGAGCTGGAGGCTGAGGAGGAGCCGGTGCCTGAGGGGCCTGGGCCCATGGGTCCCTGGGGGCCCCAAGACTGGGTGGGCCCCCCACCACGTGGCCCTACCACACCAGATGAGGGCTGCCTCCGGTACTTTGTCCTGGGCACCGTGGCAGCTTTGGTGGCCCTCGTGCTCAACGTGTTCTATCCTCTGGTATCCCAGAGTCGCTGGAGATGAGCTCACCTGCAGGCAGCAGCTGTGAGCTGGCCTACCTGCCTGCCCAGGCCATGCCTGCCTTTGTTGTGGGGAACGTCTCTGGGCTTTGGGCCTCAGCTTGTGTATCTGGTGGGGGAGGGTGGGGAGACTGTGGCCTCTGCAGGGGCAGGGCATCCTAGGGTGGGTATCCATCCAGCTGTCTGTCCATTCATACCATACTGTTGCTCTGACCCTTGGCCTGGGGCTTGGCCCTGCCCAAGCTACTTCCTGTACGTAAAGTGTTAATAAAACCAGACTATTCAGGCCCGATCTCGTCTCTCTGTCTCACGCCGCTGCTGTCTGCGCCTGCCTTGGGACCCTCCCTTGGGTGCCAGGGCTCCAAGCCAGCACCCCCGGGATGCCAGGCGGCATGCTGGGCAGCCCCCAACCCCTGTCCTCATATTCTGTTGCAGGGACTAGGCCCTGGCCAGGCCCCCGAGGTGGCCCCCACGCGGACAGCCCCTGAACGCTTCGCCCCCCCTGTGGATCGGCCAGCCCCTACCTACAGCAACATGGAGGAGGTGGATTAGCAGGTCCCTGGCTGATGGGGGGTCCTGGGTATGGGAGACCCACCACAGAGGGCCAGCTCTTTGCTGCTTCTCCTTCTCTAATCCAGAGGACACTGGCTCTGTCAACGGGAAGCTGTGGGGTATGATTTGGGTGTGGAAACATCTCAGGTTGGGACTTCTTGTCAGCTTGGACGCCTGACCAGTGGGCTTTGGCTTCTCCAGCTGCCTCCAGTGCTGCGTGATTTGATTCTCAGTTGTACCTTCAATTCTTTCTGACCCACATTATAAACATAATTTTATTCTAAAAATTGTAATTTTTTTTTGCATTTTGGAAGTGATTGCTGCTGTTTAAATATATTTTAAAAATAAAAAATTAGTAGACTTAGTGACTGTGATCCACCACGTGCTGGGGCCACCTCCCCTCCCCATCATTTGGTCATGTCTGTGTGTGTGTGTCTGTGTGCATCTGTGTGCGTGCAGGTATGTATAAGAGACCTTGAAAGTGCTCTATTCTGAAGAGAGATGAAGGGGTCCCAGTTCATGTCCTATGGCTCATGAAACCCCCAGTGCTGTCAGCTCTTTGGAACCTACCTGCTGCTCTTTGATTTCACTGGTTCTGGGTCCCACATAGAGGCAGCTGTGGTTGGCATCATCAGGATTTCAATGCCCAAGAGACAGAGGAGTATATGAGGCACTGGAGTTGACAGCATGGAGTCAAAGGTGCATGTACCAGAGCAGCCTCGGGCTGACAACCAGACAATAAGTCAAGGAGGACTTGGTGGGGGACAGAATACTGGGGGTGGGGATCTTCCTCCTTATCAGTTCTCAGCTTTTTCTTTGCTTGAACAACATCTGGATCCCTACAGGTGGGAAACTGCTGTGGGGCAGATCTTGCTGCCCTGAAAAGAGGACAGGCAAAGAGGACCAGAGCTGATCTTGTCTAACTTCTATTGGAGGGAGGGTGCTGGGGCCTGCCAGCCTTAAAAGTCTTCCCTTAAGAGTCCCTGAAACCGGCCAAGTGTGGTGACTTATGCCTGTAATCCCAGCACTTTGGGCTGAGGTAGGAGGATGGCTTGAGCCCAGGAGTTCAGAACTAACCTGGGCAACAGGTGGAAGGCCCATCTTTACTAAAAATATAAAAATTAACTGGGTGTCGTGGTATGCCCCTGTGCCAAATATTTCAGAGGCTGAGGTGGGAGGGTCGTTTGAGCCTAGGAGGTGGAGGCTGTGATGAGCTGAGATTGTGTAATCGCACTCCAGCCTGGGTGACAGAGTGAAACTCTTTCAAAATTAATAATATAATAATAATAATAAAAGAGTCCCTGAGACCTTGGCTCCTGGCAGCTGTGCCAGGCTATTCCCTCTCAAGTGGGTTTCTAAGTCTGTCCTAGCCTAGAGCCTCTGCAACCTTGTACAAATAGCAAGGGCAAGTCTTGTGAAAAGCCTCCCTGCCTCCCTTTGTGGAGAATGCTGCCCCCTCCGCTCTCCAGTTGCTTGGGGGGTAAGGTGGACATCTCTAGCTGGAAGGAGATGGAGAGCAAAGGTACTGATGAGGCAGGAATTTAGAGTTGCTCAAGGGTGTTAAGACAGGCAGAGGTGGGGCAGGGTCCTGGCAGCCCTGTAGGTTCATTCCCATCTCTAAGCCCATGGGGTCAGTCTCAAGAAGCTCGGCATTGAGGCCTTGCTGGTAGCCCTGTTTCATTTGGAGCTAGGAGTAGCAATAAGCTCCTGGGGAAAGCTAGCCCCCTGACCAATGTTGGCTTTTTCTGATGGGGACAACACAAGGATCATGTGAAACCACTGGCTGTGGAGAGGGGTGTGAAAACCTGAGTGTGGGACCTGTAGAAATGGAATTGTTGGCCTATGTGCTGGTGCTGGCAGAGGTAATACTGTTGGAGGGCCTATTAAGCATGGGCTGCTCTGGGATTTTAACCATGGGCAGCCCCAAGTGCAAGGGAGTCTGGCCATCATTGGCTACATGTGCTAGATGCACTGATAAAGGAGTTCTGTCTGCCTCTGACTGCAGCCCTGCTGCTGCACTATACCCTTCTGTAGCATTTGCATGAGACTATTGTCACCAGCACTGTAGTCTCTACTACCCTACCTCTTATGTTATCAGCCTGTGCCATGGGGACCTCTCCATGGGCTTGGCTGCTGGACTCTACCTCTGTCCATTCCACAACTGGGCCTTGCTGGCTGCTGCCTGGTTTTTCCACTTGACTTTCCTGGAAGCAGTGCCAGGGGCTCATGCAGGCAGGCTAACCTCCAAACTGGGCTCATACAATTTAACATTTCTGCTCTGTGCAAGTCATAGACATTTAGGGTTAGCTGGACATGCACTGGTACTACCACTTGTGGCATTCTTGGTGGCACTCATGGGGCTACTACCTCATCCTATGACATGTAGCCACGGGGTCCACAGTGTACCATGAGGTAACCAGGAAAGGGAGTACAGATCTTGATCCCATTGAGGGGGCCATCACCAGACCTGTATGACCTAGTGATGGTGCTACAATGAATCAGTGAATCGGGTACTGAGGAAATAGTGGCAGTGGCAGGCACTCTGCATGGATTTGCTCATCATGGGCACCTTTGTGGTTGTCTGGGCAATTGCACCTTCAAATTCAGTGCAAGGCTGGTGTGGCTATGGCTTTGCTTTTTGGTACCTGTCCTTAGCACCACGGGTCTGCATCCCCTGCTTAACTCCTGCACCTGGCCTTTCTCATGCAGTACATTGCAGGGCTGGGCACCTGGCTGGAGCCAAGGGGCCATGGAGAGGTGGTAAGCCCCAGGACAGCATTGGACCTGGATACTGATGCAGCATGTGGCCCTGGCCAGCACCTGGCATGTGGTCATTAGGTGGTATCCAGGCTTGGAGCTTGGTCATTAGTGGGATTTGGCACAAAGGACACAGAATATGGATACAGGCTAATCAGGATCCTGTCTATGCCTTGAAGGTCCAGAAATATGAGCATCACCAAGGGCTGCAAGAGCTCCAATTTCAAATTTGGAGATTTCCACCATCCCACCACCAGGTGCTCATTCTCTGCAACCCTCTACCTCAACCCCTTTTCACACACATAGTCTCTATATTCTGTTTTAGCTAGCAGGTCCTGGAAGTCCAGTGAGACTGTGGGAAGATCCCTAAGCATAAAGCTATAATCATGAAGATTCCATCTCATTTGTCCCACTCTGTCCCAACCTCAATAAAATATCCTTTCTCGAAGGCCTGCAGAGGGATTTCAAGGTCAAATTTGCATGTGGTTTTCCTGATATTTGCATGCTTTGGCAGGCAAGAGGGGAAGTGTGGGATGAGGTTTTTTGGTTTTTTTTTTTTTGAGACAGTCTCACTCTGTTGCCCAGGCTGGAGTGCAATGGTGCAGACTTGGCTCACTGCAACCTCTGCCTCCTGGGTTCAAGCGATTCTCCTGCCTCAGCCTCCCAAGTAACCGGGATTACAGGAGCCTGCCACCACACCGGGCTAATTTTTGTATTTTTAGTAGAGATGAGGTTACACCATGTTGGCCAGGCTGGTGTCGAACTCCTGATCTCAAGTGATCCGCCTGCCTCAGCCTGCCAAAGTGCTGGGATTACAGGTGTGAGCCACTGCACCCAGCCTTTTTTTTTTTTTTTTTTTGAGACAGAGTCTCACTCTGTCTACCAGGCTGGAGTGCAGTGGCATGATCTTGGCTCACTACAACCTCTGCCTCCCAAATTCAAGCAATTTTCCAGCCTCAGCCTCCTGAGTAGCTGGGATTACAGGCGTGTGCCATCATGCCCAGCTAAATTTTGTATTTTCAGTAGAGACAGGGTTTCAACATGTTGGCCAGGGTAATCTCGAACTCCCGACCGCAAGTAATTCGCCTGCCTCGGCTTCCCAAACTGCTGGCATTATAGGCCTGAGCCTCTGCACCAGCCAAGATTTTAAATCAAATCATAGAACTTCTGTGAGGTTCCCTCCTGGCCCAGACTCTTCCCTTCCCTTTCCTGGCCAGCTGTGTCCCAGTGGACACCTAAAAACTGTCGGATTTATGGGGCCCCTGGATCGGCCATTCTGCACATTCTCTGCGATAGAGTCTGGATTAGGGATTTCCCGGGCTTCATTTTGCTGTTTCCATAACAACTCCAAAAAGTGGTGTCAAAAACGTGACAGGGACTCACATTTGCTCCCGAGGAAAGTTACTGTACTGAGATGGAGTTCCCAGGGCTGAAGTAGAAAAGTCAGAGCAAAAGGCCACGCCTGTGTCTTCCTCCTGCCTCGGGGCCTAATGACTTCCTTTCAGATCTGTGGCGAGTATCTATAAAAGCCCCGCCGCCCGCCAACACTCTTTCAAGCCCCCAGTTCTACGGAGGCCCCCAGAAAGGCCGGTTTGTCTGGTCGATGTTCTTTAAATGGCGTAGACGACCCTGGAACGCCCCGCCCCCTCCCGCCAAGGAAGAACACCATTGGTTCTCTCCAGAGGCTTTTATTGGTCAGCGGGTGAATACCCGACCTGCAGATTCGGTCCTAAGTTTCTTTTGGTTTCCGGTGTCTCTGCAATGGCGGCTCTGGACTCTCTGTCGCTCTTCACTGGCCTCGGCCTGAGCGAGCAGAAGGCCCGCGAGACGCTCAAGAACCAGACTCTGAGCTCGCAGCTGCGCGAGGCCGCTACCCAGGTGCGAGTTCCACTGCCCCCGGCCTGGTTTGCGGGTCTTGCTGCCACGCAGCGCGGGGCGGGGTCCAGATCCGGACCTGCCCCACTTGTTTTGCTCTTTCCTTTCACTGAGCGTGGGGCTTCTCTCCTGATCCCTCTGACCACAGGCTCAGCAGACCCTGGGCTCCACCATTGACAAGGCTACCGGGACCCTGTTATATGGCTTGGCCTCCCGACTCAGGGATACTCGGCGTCTCTCCTTCCTTGTAAGCTACATAGCCAGTAAGAAGATCCACACTGAGCCCCAGCTGAGCGGTGAGACCCCTCCCTGTCCTGCCAGTTCGACCACCAATGCCTTCCTTCAGCCAAGACCCTTGTCTTACCTTTTTTGCCAAGTCCTCCAGTTTCTAGACATCTAGTTCTGCACAGACACTGAGGCATGGAGTGGGTGGTGAGACTAAGAAGGGAACTGTCAGGGTCTGAGGGGCATCCACTCTTGACACGCTTCTCTCTTCCCTGTGTCCTCAAGGGTGGTGGTGCCAGAGCTTAACTTTTCAGGAGGCCAGACTATCCTTGGAGTTTCATGAGATTAGGACCCTGTCTGTCCACTTATTGGAGCAGAGATGCCACAAACTCATTGGCTCTTTTTTTCTCAGCTGCCCTTGAGTATGTGCGGAGTCACCCCTTGGACCCCATTGACACTGCGGACTTTGAGCAGGAATGTGGCGTGGGTGTCACTGTGACCCCAGAGCAGATTGAGGAGGCTGTGAGTCTTTCCCCAGGCATCATCCACCTCCCCAGTCCTGGCCATGGACAAGAGTGGCTCAGTTTCCCTCCCCAGGAGGAGCCAGAGTAAGGGAGTGGGTTCCCAGAATATCTGTGAAGGTGGCTTTCCTGAACCACATGGTTTGGGTTTCTGCAGGTGGAGGCTGCCATTAACAAGCACCGGCCCCAGCTCCTGGTGGAACGTTACCGTTTCAACATGGGGCTGCTGATGGGTGAGCAGGGCCTGGGATGGGGCTATATTGCTATCTCTGGTCATGCCTTTTCTTCTGGGCATAAGTGAGTGGGGGCTGGGGGAAGGAACAGGAGTGACTTAAAGTTTTCTGGCTGGGCTCAGCCTTTGGTTCCTGTGGTTAGCCAGGAACTTTCCTTGGAAAGGAGGTGGGGGGAGTACTGTTTTTCGCCTTTCTGCAGCTCCTTGTGGCTATGCTTCTAGGAGAGGCTCGGGCTGTGCTCAAGTGGGCAGATGGCAAAATGATCAAGAACGAAGTGGACATGCAGGTGGGCGTGCTTCACTAAGCTGAAGCTGGCAAAGACTTTGGCATGAACAGGGTCTGGAATCCACTAAGGGATAAAAGGCAGAAGGAGGGCTGGGCATGGTGGCTCATGCTTATGATCCCAGCACTTTGGGAGGCTGAGGCAGGGGGATTGAGCCCAAGAGTTCAAGATGAGCCTGAGCAACTTAGTGAGAACCCATCTCTACAGAAAATTTAAAAATTATCCAGACATGGGGTGCATACCTGTAGTCCCAGCTATCTGTGGGGCTGAGGTGGGAGGATTGCTTGAACCTAAGAGGTTGGGTGCAGTAGCTCATGCCTGTAATCCCAGCACTTGGGGGTGCTGGGGCAGGCGGATTACCTGAGGTCAGGAGTTTGAGAGCAGCCTGGCCAACACAGTGAAACCCCATCTCTACTAAAATACAAAAATTAGCTGGGCATGATGGCGGGCACCTGTAGTCTCAGCTACTCAGAAGGCTGAGGTGGGAGAATTGCTTGAATCTGGGAGGCAGAGGTTGTAGTGAGCTGAGGCTGTGCCATTGCACTCCAGCCTGGGCAACAAGAGCAAGACTCCATCTTAAATAAATAAATAATAAAGAAGAAAGGAAGGAAGGAGAGGGAGGGAGGGAAGGGAAGGAAAGGAAAGGAAGAAAGGTGGGAGGAGTGCACAGGAGAGCCCAGTGTGGAACGAGCAGCACCTGAAAGGGTAGTGACAGACTTAGGCCTCTGGGCTGTGCCTAATTCGAGGTTAATCACTTTACTTTAAACCTCAGTTTGCAGCCAGGTACAGTGGCTCATACCTGTAATCCCAGCACTTTGGGAGGCCAACGTGGGCAGATCACAAGGTCAGGAGATCAAGACCAACCTAGCCAACAAGGTGAAACCCCATCTGTACTAAAATAGAAAAAAATTAGCTGGGCATGGTGGCACATGCCCGTAGTCACAAGCTACTCAGGAGGCTGAGGTAGGGGAATTGCTTCAACCCGGGAGGCAGAGGTTTCAGTGAGCTGAGATTGTGCATGCCACTGCACTCCAGCCTGGCAACAGAGCAAGACTTTGTCTCAAAAAAAAATTTCAGTTTTCTCTCATAAATAGGGTAATGTGGCCGTCCTCTTAGGATGCTGGCATTGAAGAGGGTGGTGGCTGAGGCAGATTGCTTGCCTTGATGCTGTGCCTACAGTTCCTCTCTATAAGTGGCAGCCCAGTATGGACCCTCAGTAGAGAGAGAGCATTTTTTTTTTTTTTTGAGATGGAGTCTCACTCTGTCATCCAGACTTGAGTGCAGTTGTGTGATCTCAGCTCACTGCAGTCTCCACCTCCTGGGTTAAAGTGATTCTCCTACCTCAACTTCCTGAGTAACCTGGGATTACAGGTGTGTGCCACCACACCCAGTTAATTTTTGTATTTTTAGTAGAGATGGGGTTTCATCATGTTGGTCAGCCTGGTCTCAAACTCCTGACCTCGTGATCCTCCTGCCTTAACCTCCTAAAGTGCTGGGCCTGGTCTCGAACTCCTGACCTCTTGATCCTCCTGCCTCAACCTCCTGAAGTGCTGGGATAACAGGCATGAACCACTGCGCCCAGCTTAGAGAACATTTTAAGCTAGCAGACCCACATGAGGAGAAGAGGTGGGATGGGGTAGGTAGGTTCTTCCAGTTAGTGCTGGCAGACAGTCTAGGAAGCCTTGAGTCGGCGGGTAGGATCAGTCAGTGGCTTCTTGAAAGAGGATACTCCTGTTACTGCCTGACTGTGGTCTCTGCTCAGGTTCTCCACCTTCTGGGCCCCAAGATGGAGGCTGATCTGGAGAAGAAGCCCAAGGTGAGGCTGGGCATGGCCCTGAGTCCCTGAGGGTAAGGTAAGGTATGGTGAGACTTCAAGCTGGGGAAGTAAGGGTCTGACCACAGTGATCCCAGGACCCTGCCCAAGAGAAAATCTGATGCCGTTTTCTGAAGCACCTGGGGCTTCTTTCAGGTGGCCAAAGCGCGGCTGGAAGAAACAGACCGGAGGACAGCAAAAGATATGATAGAGAATGGTGAGAAGCTTGAGGCTCCTGTCACAGCATTCAGCTCCCTGACTGAGCAGAAGAGTCCTCACAGGCTCCTCAGGCTCTTGGCTTGCTCAGTACCCTGCCTTCTGTCTTAAGACTGGAATTCCTGGTGTTTCCTTTGTTCCTTTTGCCCAGAGACTGGCCTGAGAAGCCTCAGATGTCTGGTTCTTGATCTCTTGTCTCTGGAATTGAGTGAAGAGGGGTCTACTCAGTTCTATTCTGGCTGTAGGATATGGTAAATGTATCCAGAGGACAAGTTTTCTTGTTTTGTTCCCCACAGGTGAGACTGCTGACCAGACCCTGTCTCTGATGGAGCAGCTCCGGGGGGAGGCCCTTAAGTTCCACAAGCCTGGTTAGTGGGCATGTCGAAACACTGGGGAGGGGTGGATCTTGGCAGCAGCTCCTATAGGCAGGCCCCCGGGGTCAGAGGCTTTGGCTGCAGCCTGGTCCTTAAGCTTATTCTGGCCCTGACAGGTGAGAACTACAAGACCCCAGGCTATGTGATGACTCCACACACCATGAATCTACTAAAGCAGCACCTGGAGATTACTGGTGGGCAGGTGTGTGGGAATATGGCCATGTGAGCTTGTGCCATCAAATGCCTGCCTGAGTGCCTGGGCTGCCTCCATACTACCCCAGTTCACCCATCACCATGGCCTTCCTGGGAGGGAACATCTGTTTCCTTAGGGCCATCTGAGCTCTGACCTTATTTCTCTTTTCCCATCCCTCTTTATCTCAGGTACGTACCCGGTTCCCACCAGAACCCAATGGAATCCTGCATATTGGACATGCCAAAGCCATCAGTTTCAACTTTGGCTATGCCAAGGTAAGCATGTATCTAGGGACCTGGCAAGCAAGATGACCACTTGCTGTTCCCATGAGTGGATACCATGTCCCTGCCTTGCTGTCTGCTCCCAATAATGTACCCAGGTGGTCAGAGGCCATGGAAAGGAACCACATGTGTGACAGATACCTAGGAATCTATTGAGCTTATTAGAATAAGTAGCTTCCTCCCTCTGAGGAGCCAGTGAGTTCAAATTTGGGGGAGTTGCCAGTGTAGCCCCTAGGCTTAAAAAGAGGCTATGCTGTCTGTCCCAAATTAATGTAAGAGATGCTTTATCTGGGCATTTAGATACAGGAAGGTGAGAGAAGTTCTTGAAGGCAAGAACTTTAAATTCTGACATGAGGCTGAGTGTGGTGGCTCATGCTTATAAATCCCAGCACTTTGGGAGGGTAAAATGGGTGGATGACTTGAGGTCAGGAGTTTGAGACCAACCTGGCCAACATGGTGAAACCTCATCTCTACTAAAAATAGAAAAATTAGCTGGGCATGGTGACACATGCTTGTAGTCCCAGCTACTAGGAGGCTGAGGCAGGAGAATTGCTTGAACCCGGGAGGTGGAGGTTGCAGTGAG